AAAAATCAGCCTGTTCCGGCGGGAACAGCCAACACGTTGAATAAAACAAACACACGCGTGTTAAACCCTGGGGACGCAATTAGGCTCGGWGCAGGGGGAAGAGGCGTTTAACTCCTGCAAAAGGAGATGGCAGCGGGCAAGGAAAAGGAGAATAAAGCTGGTGCCTCACACCACGTCCCGTGGGGTAAGCCCAGGTGGGCGCTGCAGGGTGCCCCAGCACCAGGAGGGGGTGAAGGTCACCCTCATCATCCTCCCAAGCTGCCCTGTCCTCCGAATTTCCCTTCCTGTGCCCCCCTCAATGGGAAGCACCCAACAACAACTCCCTCCACTTTCACTGCTCGCCCACTTGAACACCCTCAGACAGTTCTGAGCACCACCCAGCTGAGAGCTTCTCTTCACCACCTTCAAATCTTCCTTTTCCCCACCACAGCCCCCATCAGCAGTGCTGGCATCCATCCATCCCACTGTGGCACAGCTGTAGAACAGCCACAGCCCCACAAACCCTTCTGCTGCCCCTTGCATCAGGTCCTTCCAACCTGGGGAACCCCAAAGCACACGTGGGGAAGAAAAGCCCACACCCCACACCAGCATGAAGTGTTACCCACTCCAGTGCTTGGGTTTAACACTTTTCTCCCCATGTTCTTGCAGTTTTTCAACAGGGCACCTCTGAGGATTGAAGCTGGACTCTTGCCTGTGCTCCCYACTCAAATCACAGCCCCTCTGGCTCATCAGAGCTTGCAGAACCTCCTCCAGCAACAGAGTGAAGCCCTCAGTCCTGCTGGTTTTAATTGCGAGTCAGAGCCAGGGATGAATTCAGAACGAGGGAGCAGAAAATCCCATGGAGTTCTGAGCGACAGCAAAGCCCTTTGATGGCAAAGCCAGCAGTGACAGATGCAGGAGCCCGCAGCACTCTGATCAGTGCTCTACAGAGAGCTGAGCTCAGCCCAGAGCAGAGGTAAAAAAGAGGAAAAAAATAATATTTTTAGCATCACCAGGTCCCAGCACAAATTCCCAAAGGAGCTGCTCTGCAAACTTCATGATCGCAAAACATTGCTCGGACTCATGGAAGAAGGAACTTTGAGTTCTGCTCTGGATCCCTGGAAGTGTCCAAGACCAGGCTGGACAGGGTTTGGAGTGAGCTGGGATGGTGGAAGATGTCCTTGGAAGATTCCCCATGTGAATTCCCAGTTTTTAGCCACACTGCATCCTTCCCAGCAAGCTCCCCACCCAGCCTGGATGGTAACAGCAAAGGTGGCTGGGATTTAACCTGGATGTCTTGGCAGGGATTTGCATATTCAGAAGGTAGATAACACCTTCGTGATGATCACAAGTCATTAAAAAGTTTTGTTTATTCCCAGGGCAATCCCACACAAGGAAACAGGAATTCTCCAGAAGTGGGCTCCTATCAGGAGGAGTAACTCAAGTGCCACCCAACTGAAAGGTTCTTGGGAACCCTGTGGCTTCCCAGAGATACCTGAATCACAGCACAGGGTTAGAATTACAAAGAAAAAAAAAAAAAAAACAAACCCAAAACAAGCAGCTTTCCCCAGGTAATGTGATTTAACACCTGTTCTTAGGCATGAAATACCTGTGCAGAGCATCACTGAAGTTCTATGAGGACTCATAAAGGCAAATAAAACAGCATCAGGCTAAGTTTGGTAACTCTGGACTAAAATCTGACATTGCAACTAAAACCTGACCTTGATCCTAACTCTTACCTCAGCTGCCTCCTGCAAGAAAGATTAAACCAAACAACAAACAGGCAAATTGAACAGCACCAGGCTAAGTCTGATAATTCTGGATTAAATTCCAACTTTGCAACTAAAACCTGACCTTGATCCTAACTCTTACCTCAGCTCCCTTCTGCTGAAATATCAAACTTCTCACTGACACTTTCCTTTAAGCCAACGCAGAAAGCTTCGACTGCGGATCCTTTTCSTTTGAAACCCAAGACATCTTTGTTTTCACACTGACTCAACACAAAAATAAAGCTTGTTTTAATCAGTGTTTACAGCCTCAAATGATTTACTACAGCTTTACTAGAAGTCAAGGCACTCTGAGCTCACACACAGATATCTTTTGCCACCGGGTGGGTCAAGCGAGGGCTCCAGTTAAAAACCCCAACCCTTCTTTTTATCTGCATTTATTTAAACAAGCTGAAGCATTCAAATTGCCAAGGAACACCAGGAGAGCCGGAGGGGAACTTCCTCTGCGGTCCATCATTCTTACGGAGCACCGAGTGTCCAAAAGCCACAGACATTTCCAAACTGGAGGGCTCTGGCTGGGATGGATTAGCCAACAAATCCCGATTATAGCCGGGAACAGGCGACAGGCGGCTCGCAGAGGGGGAGCAATGACTGAGGTTGCTGTGCAGACAGGACTCAAGTGTTGCATCGCTGTTCCCGTCTCCCAAAACACACACAAAAAAAAAAAAAAATAAAACCAAACCCAGCAACAAAACTAGCACAACAGCAACCCAGGTGAGACACAGCTGGATTTACTCAATGCTGGTTTATCCCGAGCACTCGAGGGGCAGGGACTTGGCAAAAGAGGGATGTGGCTGCACTCACACCTGGATATAATCCCTCGGACGAGTCCTAAAAACACTGAAATTTAGAAAAAGAAAAGGGGAAATTCCCTGGGAATCATTCACGTGCATATCTGAGAAGCTGTGGCTGTCCCTGGATCCCTGGAAGTGCCCAAGGCCAGGCTGGACAGGGCTTGGAGCACCCTGGGATGGTGGAAGGTGTCCCTGCCCGTGGAAAAGGGGTGGAAAAAGAACATCTCCAAGGTCCTTCCAACCCAACCCATCCCATGATTTTATGTCGCCATAGGCGGGTCTCAAGAACGACAACACGGACATGAAAAAGCAGAACAAACGAACTTTTTTCATGAAAACCGGAGCGGGAAAAGCACAAATCCTCGGCGAGAGGTTCGGGGACAAGCACGGCCGGCAAAGCTGCTGTGCCACCTACAGTCACTTCTGGTCCAGCACAGAACCTCCCCCGAGCCAAACCCGGTCCCTGTCACTTCACCGAGTGTCACCCAGCAATGCCGCGGCCATGCCGGTTAAGGAAGCGCTTCCTCTACGAGGGGAGACACCGCAAAAAAAAAAAAAAAAGAACTTTGAAAGTTCACCCGAAATCAGAAAGCGAGCTGCCAAGTGGATACAGAGCCCTCCTCCCCCCGCGTTTCAAATAAAGTCGTTGCTGGGGGTCTTTCCCAGCACGCACGACTGCTCAAACTCTTGACATAAAACTTTAAAGTTTCACTTTTTCTACTTTTTCCCCTTCCTTTTTATTGCGGTTTTTTGCACCAACGCGAAGTCAGGCAACCGCATCCGCAAGCCCCAGAGCGCAGCTGAACACGCCGTGCCCTCCGCTGGGGAAAAACAAATAAAAGTAGGGGAGAAAACACCCCCAAAACACCSCCARAACWGCCAGACMCGAAGTTTTAATCGCTCCTTTTCCCCCC